ATAGTGTAGCTGCTACCGACATACTGACGCTGTCGCATCGAGGCCTTCGGCATCAGCTGCCGCAAGCTTCGATGGGGGGGGTCTTCGCTGCATCTCCTCGAGGTGCACCACTTCGCATAACTCTCAGGTGTTTAAGCATTCATTAGCTGGCTGGATACAAAGTTATGTTGCCCATAGTCCGCGAAAATACGTGGGCTGTCGGTTCACGTTCCAGGGTTTTTAGGTATCACGCTCCGTGCTAGGTTAACCCCCTGACCCTAGAACCGCGCATCGTCCTGACCCAATGCCTTTAAACTTGCCTTTGCTCCTCATTGTTGACTGGAGCTTATTGCTACAAGTGTACTTTCAGTGCACCCACAGATCGTAGAGGCAGTTCCCGCTGTGAGGAGATCTACGGCTTGTAGATCCTTGCACCAACACTTTGGAAAAATTCAACAAGCCACACAATTTGCATTGGTTTCGGTAGCACCGGTCTTGCTCAAGGAGCGGCAGCTTATTAAAGCATATGGAGAGCTGTACTGGAGGAATTCTTGAGGTATGACAGCCCGTTCTTCGGGGCTCTTTTAAAATTCATCGATTGTTCAGACATGCTTCACTTGGATCTCGCAATTCTTTTCCAAATTTAGCGCCGCATTCACTGGTCGTTCGACGCAGTTCAGAAGGTGACAGGTCGTTCTCCTCTCCAACTCCCCATGGATCTGGAATTTGGGCAATCCTCGGATATTTTGCCGCAAGGTGAGCGTCCCCTCATACCACTTGGGGGTTGTTGTTTATTTCGTGAGCGTCCTGTCAGGCCTGCTCGTGTAGCCGTTTCTTTGTCGTCTGCGGTGGCGACATCTCCCCTTCGTTCAACTGGTGGACCAATTCAGACTTGCTGCCACCTGACAGCGTGCGTTGAAGAACATGTGTGGGGGGCCCGCAGGCATTGCAGAAGATGGAGCTGTCAAGACGTACATGCTGGACTATGACCACGGCTTCACTGCGCCTATGATAGGTCGCAAAAGCCGGATACCCCACCGGAGTTTGCATATCATTTCCTACGCGGTGGTCGCAACGGTCGTGATATTCCTCGTCGTTCAGTGTGCACTGCAACTAGCAGGCAGAAGAAACTTCAACGGCTGGTCCCGGAGGAGGCTCGCAGAACAAGTACGGCGTCCCGCATAAACAAACACGCAAGCACTCAAAAGAGCCCGTAGTTCCTCGTGACGCATATGAGCTTCCCTTTTCTGCATTGTCCAGTTCTCTGCACCCTGTCTTCTGAAGCGTTCAACTCTTATCTGCTGTGGCATGGTGACACATGCGCGCGCCACTGTGGAGTGACTGTGGTTGCTTGTTTCTCCTATGCAGACCGCTCCGTGCAGACCAA